TTGTTTTCAAACTATGTTTTCCGTTGCGTATTGAATTGCTTATTATGTATGTTTATGGATGATTTATGTGTGAATGATATTCGAGACGCCTTGTATAATATGGATGTGTTAGACTGCGGTTGACTATTCGTATTGTACGACCGGTTGTTGACGTGTCCGGATAGGTCCGAGCGTGACAACATCGGCCGATTTGATAGAGATTTCATAAATAAAGCTGTTGTTGACTAAAAATATAGCTCCGCACATCGGATCAGGAACCCAACGATCAGCGAGTAGCTGTTCGGGGTCACAGAGCCAGAGGAAGACCCACCATGTCGAGGTACTCCATTATGAATGGATAAAGGGGGAACCTGAGCCCCTTTGCGAACTCATAGGGTATACTCCGAAATACCCAGCCAGGGGGTTGAGCACATGATCTGTCGGCCGAGGTGCCCTAACCCTGCCATAGGCCCCACGTACATCTGGGCGACATAATATTCAGCGACGGAACTCTCCCGTTTGATAATGTAAAGGTTGGTAAGATCCAAGAAGGAAATGTTTGGACCTTTCTTTGGTCGTCGCCTCCTCTTCGGCCGTACGTCTACTACAGGAGCTTTCCCCTTGACGGCGAAGAGGGGATCAGGGCACATAATGGTGGCCGACGTAGAAGCCTCATCTCCTATACGTGAAGCCCCAACGTCTTCACTCGATGATGACGAGGCAACATTCTTGTTTGCACTCTCCCCCTTGTCCTGTTGGTCCCCTGACCTGAAGGGGCTCATGACGTCTATCTCCTTGGTGCACTCATCCATAATCCCGAAATCCAGGGACTTGGTACACACCCCTTCGTCATCATAAGGATAGTACTCTTCGTCCAAATACTTGGCCATCACAACTATTCGTTTCCTAAAGGGAAGCAATTTGGATCTAAGGAGAGGTTTCCTAACTAACACTGAATCAAACCCTAGGGAAGCAAAATATAGCGAAATAAGGAAAGAACATGTGAAGAACTAACCTTGAAGATTTGAAAGGGGTGAAGAACACGGATGAGATACTTTCTCTCTCTAGAAAGTTGAGCAGCGCTTCTTTATCGCGAATGGAAAATGGGGAACTCGCTTCGGGTAGGAGGGGTACTTATAGACCCCCTCCTAACGGTCACTAACACCTGTCCTCCTCACATTGGCCACACCAACGGTCATGACATGTGGCGCACCAACAGTGGATGCACCAACAGTCACCTCCCCACAACCAATCAAGCGCCACCGGTTCAATGTATCAAGGTTGTCCACCTTCTCCGGTCTTATTGGCTGAAATAAAGGGCCACTCAACGGCCACACAAGCCTCAAGCATCATGAGAGACCTCAACGGCTGCTGATGACACCGTAACGACTAGCCCATGCAAATGCATGCCTGCTTCGGCCAAACTAGGCAGCGACAACAGGGCCTCTCCAATGGCCAAAACCCAAGTAAGGTACCACCTATCAACCATTTTCCACCGTACAAACCATTGATGATAACCTCTGGTCTGCGGTCTGCGTCCAAGGATTCTCCCACAAGGTTACCTTAGCTTGGTCAAGAATCACCAAGGGGTTGGATTCATGAGGAATGCAGGGGGTCCACTTCGGCCTGGGGGTTGCCTTACTCCTTCACTCCTCACTTACTCTTCGGCCTTAAGGAGTGGGGGACTGTATCGGCCTCCACATGCTCCAAAAGATTCCAGAGTAAGCAAAAGTTCAAAAAAGTCAAAAGCACAAAGGCAGGACATTCATCGTCCTCAAAACCACGGACACACAACGTCCACTGGGTAAGGACCTCTATCGTCCACATTACGAATCAAACTACCAAACCACATATGGTTTTGCTTCGGCCTGGAGCACCAAAAACAGTTACAGTGCCTCCTCGGTTGCGCAAGGTAACCAAAAATTGCGAAGGGAAACAAATCAGTGCCAATGCTATGACATCGTCTCCAACCCACATGTTCAACCTCCGGCCAAGATAGGAGAACAATATCACAACAACAAAAGCATGTGTGATGTCCTCAGGGGTCACACTCATCGTCTTCTCAAACAAAGACACTCATCGTCCCCTAGCATCAGGACACTCATTGTCCTCAAAACATAAGGGCACACATCGTCCACGACATGGAAACAAGAGCTCCGCGACGGCTCGGTGAGCAAAACGTCTGCAGCTCCAACAAAGAATAATCAACTTGGCCACACAACGGCCAAGCATAAGGAATAGCCACAACGGTTCCACATCGGCCAAAAATCATCAAGACAAGAATCTACTCCCTTTCACTTCGTCTGCATCTCAGCTCAGAGAGTGGGAGACTCCTGATGGAGTATATGGATCCAGACCCCACAACCCACATACTCAGAAGAATAAGAGGAAGCACAACTGTCATCAAGTGGATCTTCCGTCGGCCAGATGACCTCCATCGATCGGACAAAACACCAACCCAGAATATGGTCTCGAATCCAGGAGAACCGGGGACCTCCGTCGGCCAAACCTTCATCGGATAGCCAGATTTCATACTTAGTCAAATTACATACCCTGTATTCGGCCTAGTAGTGGCCTCATTGTAAATGGGCATGGTCGGTTCTGAGGAGGGACAAGAGGGGCGACCACCCTAGACCCAAAAAAATAGAAGAAAAAATAGGCCATTTTTTTTCTTTATATATAGTGTGAGGATGCTTCTTTTTTATTCTTAAATTCAACTAATTAGGCCTAATGATTATTTTTGTTGACAATTTGAAAATTTAAAACATAAATAAAGAGTCTTAAACAAAGACAAGTTTAAAACAGAATATGTACATTAATTTTTAGCAAGATCGGTTGTAGTATTTAAAAGTAATACAATTGTTGCTGCATAAATAAAAGACATGTCTCTCTTGTCCTCACATCTTTTTAACTTTTAAGCTTTTTTATTCAATTTAATTATAACATAGCAAATTTATATAATTATTTTAGAGCCAGTTTCTCTCAAATTTCACCCCAATTATTCATTTGTTTCCAAATTTCAATAAGCTATATCCGAGTTCCTAATAGCAGTTTTAGAGAACGTCAAATTTGCAATCTTCTTTCGCGAGTCCTCTTGACAGCCAAACATCATGTCTCTTTGAAAACCTTCATTCTTTCGAGATTTTAAACTTTAGATTCTCATCAGCGGTCAATAAATCATTCTCAACTTATGAATTCAATATGTGCTAATATTTCTTTTCATTTATCCTTTCAAAAGAAAGTTTACTATTGTTATATGTGGCAATTTTATTGTTTGTCATATTTATTAGTGGAAAAGAGGATTGCTTATGGAGCAATTATTAATGATTTGCTTCACATTGGTCTACGAGAAACATTTTTAAGTAATGTTTTTTCTGTTTATTTGATACTCGTGTTGTTACTTTTGCCCAAATATGTAACTTATATAATAATAAAGTGATTCTCGTCTTTATTTTATGAACTTCATTGCCCAAATATGTTTTACTGTTTGTCATTGATATAGGCCCCAAATAGCGTATCGTTCATAGGCCCAGAAATAGACATGACCAACCCTGTAAATGGGCCTCTCAAGCCCAAAGTTTGGAATCTCAGTCCATATTTTCTTTATAAATACTCCTATTGTGAGTAGTTGTAAGGGATTGATGTATATATTTATGGGCTTTTTACTCGGATATTACCTAATTGAAACTAATTTCCTAAAAAGTGACCATTTTTATAAAAGGACAAAAAAATGACCAAGAAGGTCACATATATGGAAAAACATAATGTTACTGTTTTTTATGTCACTGCCTGATATTTATGTCACTATTGTGTGTCACTATTAGAATTTTATGTCACTTTTGGTGGGCACTATAACTGTCGGAAAATTTTCCGTCAACCTTTTCCGGCGAAACTATACATCACCACCGGTGCCCTTGCCGACCACATTTTTCATGTCACTGTAGTTTTTTCGTGTTACTATGATTTGTCACTACCGTTTTTTCATGTCACTTTCAGATGTCACTGTCCCGGAAAACGTGTCACTGTGTCGCCGGAAAACTTTTCCGACAACTTTTTCGGTCAAAATGTTAAACAACTTCCATAGTTTCCGCTGCGAAAACGCCGCCCCACCGGCGCCGACACCGCCGCTATGGGTGAGAACACCTATAGCCCCTACCCACCCCCTACCCCCTGCCCCTTGCCCCACCCTCACCCCATCTCAAGCCCCCTCCCTCCTCTCCCAGCCCCTTCCACATCCACCGCCGCCCCTGCCACAACTACCGCCGCCCTGCCACATCCACAGCCGCTGCCCTGGTCATGGCCATTGCCGCCGCACCAACCTTCCCTACGAAACAACTCCCCAGCCCCCAACCCCACTCACCATCGTTGCACCGCCATAGACCGTCACCTCCGGTGGGTGACGCCGCCGGCCGAACCACATCCAGTAGATGTCCAGTTTCGGTATTGCCAAACAAGCCGAATCAGCCCCCATCGATGCCTACCACGACCCCACAGCTCTCCCACAGCCACACCAACTGTACGACTACCCCAGATCTAACCATAGCCACCGCCATGGATCTAGATCTAGACTTAACCATCGTCGTAGTGCGGCGGCTATGGATGTGGCGGTCTTCCATAGCGATGCGAGGCTAGGCAGCGTCATGTGCGACAAGGTAGACTGGGGTAGCTCTCATTCCAACGGGTTGCATACGAGAAGAAGAGAGAAGAAGAAGAGTGGCGGTGGCGACAAGGAGAGGTGCAACGGCGGTGTTGGCGACGGAATCGACGTCAGTCGATGGCTCTCTCTCACTGCGGCTGCGGCTCTGGATTCTCGCATCGGAGCTCTGGAAAAAGATGATATTGAAGACGCTGGAAGGGATGTGCTGCGATGTATTGATGGGCTGATTTCTTTTTATCACTTTTTTGTCCTATCCCATATTAGTCATATTTTTGTCTATTAAAACCTTATAGATAATATTTAGGTCATTCTTTCTATATTTATTGCACATTCATTGCACTTCTCTCTAGCTTTCACTTCTTTTCGCAAGTTAATAATCCCTATATGAAGAACTCTATTTGCATAAACCGATAGAGTACTTTTGTGGGACTAATAAAGTACCACTACCACCGGATTGCCTTACCAAAAGAACTCAAAACAATTGGTGTATCCACACAAACACGTTCTTATCCACCCATTTCAGACTCTCCAGAGCTCAAGAATCACAAAAAATGGCGACCGTAGCATTCTCAGGATCTCGAATCGCCCTCAACCCTCATAAACACCACCCTCAGCCCTACTCCCCCTTCACTTATCGCGCCACTTCCGGAGATTCCCCTCCCGATACCGAAGAAACAAACGCCCAGACAACCTCCGAACCGGACGACTTCGATTCCCGGCTCTCCAAGATCAGTATCCGTTACCGCAGCGGATTGGGCAAGAAAGCAGAGCGCAGAAAAGCTCGAAAAGGAAAGACGAGTGAAGCGTCGGATTCGGGATCCGGAATGTACCTCCCGCCGGTTCCTCTCCAAGATCCGGTATCTGAAGGGCTTAAAGTGGAATTCGGGTTCACCCGGTATTCGGAACGGGTCAACGGCCGGGTTGCAATTCTGGGAATCACCGCCCTGTTGTTGGTGGAACTGGCAACCGGTCGGAGTGTGATAAAGTATCATACGCCGGCGATTGTATTACTTCAGGTATACTTTGTGGCGGCCGCCGCCGCCGTGTATGCTAAGTACGAGAAGGAAAAAGGTAGTGTCTGGCCTGGCTCACCGCCAACAAAGAATTGAGAAATGAGAATTGCTTCCGGTTTATTCCTCAATTATTGTGATAATCATATTTATTGTTTCTGTTTCTGATTTACAATTTACAAGGTGTGAAATGTTAGGGCATATCCGCTGATAATGTTGTACCACGTGTGTATTATAAGGTGACATTGACCAAGACGATTTGATCCGAATAAAGGGTTTCGAAATTCTGATTCATTTTATGCAAAGTACTACCTCGTTATTTATTTAACTTCCTGATTTGACTTAATACATACTCCTTATAAAGGAAAAACATTTATGGAGGGGTAAATTTTACGGTAGACTACACTGTTTGACACTGTTTGACACTGTTGTGTACTGTTTTGACATTGTTTTTGTATAAATTTGTTTGCTAAATAAGGAATTGTGAACTTGTTTGGGACATCCAAAAAAGGGAAGTGAATTAAATATGGAACGGACGGAGTATTATTTTGTTCGCCCCAGGTTGCGACTTCAAATGTTGATTTTGGACTTCTACAAATTTGTAAACATTTGTGTACACACTCCCTAGTTACCTGTATAGTGTGTACACTGACATGTTGTTCAAAAGCTTATGTGTACACAGACATTTGGACAGTGTGTACAACAAATGTGTATAAAAAATGAGTACAAGTAGCACTCATCAACATTCTATCACTATCTATACATTACGCATCACAAGTCACTTTTTAACTAATCTATAGAAAGTGTTAATGAGTTCCCAACAAGAAGCAAACTCATGTAATGAGATGAAGAATTGATTGCACCGGATTAGTCTATAACTCGAATTAGTCGAGCGGCCTAAATGATAATCATCTTCTTGAATTCACTTTTTTGGTGACTTGAATTCAATACTTCCCGAAAATCTTAAATATATGAAGTGGTCAACTTAAACCATTGAGAAGTTATTGATTGCCATTAGTAGAGTGTTTTTTAAGTTTTGCAATCATTAATGTGTTATTTCACCTCATTTCGTAGACAGCTTAGGCAGTGCTTGGATCTGATTCCTAAAAATGCTCCTGCTACTTCAGGAAACAGAAGTACTTCTGGTGCTCTAATTTACTCCCAGAATTAGTTTTTGAAAACTGATTCTGATTATGCTTCTGCTTTAGAAAAGAAGTAGAAGCAGAATCGATTTCAAACGCTCATAGTCTGATAATCTACTTTATTACTAACTGAGCAAATTATGTACTCCGTATTTTAAATGGATTTATTTGTTATATTTCGTATATAAGTTGAGACTGTACATGGTAATTTGATGGTTGTGGATCGGACTGTTCGAAATGATAATTCAACATTGAAAATTTGGCCTGATTGGATGATTTTCTTGGTCCAACTAATAAGTTTTTCATTGGACTGCGATAGTCCAATAAAGAACTACTCCGTATGATCCTAAATTTCTAAACTAATATAGGGACACTACGGCTTAAAAAGCAATTCTTACTGTGGCATTTAGCACGAATTTAGAACGTTTAGCATGATACTTGTATATAGTTTGCTTCATTCATCAAATAACTGTGAACAGGGCGGAGCCATAACACTGGACCGGACTGAGCCGGTACAAAGAATATTTTTAGAAAAAAAATTAAACAAAATTTTTTACCTTGAAAATTAAGTCATTTTAAAATTTGGGTTGAGTCATGGCCTATGTTGACCCACCCCTAACTCCGCCCATGACTGTGAGCTCCGCCCATGACTGTGAGGATTATAATTATTCATTTTACCTTTTTTAGAAGTTATCTTTAATATGCTAATGTATTTGGCTAACAATTTTGTTCATTTTCATTCCTGTAATATGATGTCATGTGGCAATCACTTTAAAAAACTATCTTTTTTATTACTATTTTTTTACAAAAGTATATTATTTTTTTGATCTCTTATGACACCAATGTTAGATATGTAAAAGGAAAAATTGATTTGTTATTTATCACAATTGTCAGGAAAATGGTCCAACATGCCCTACTATTATCTTTAGTTGATCGCTTAAACACATATTGACATATACCCCAAAAGTATCAAGTACGTTTACATTAAAAACACAATCAATGAATCCATTTTAACAGGCTATAGTAGATTATTTTAAATAAATTTATTAGACCAATTGATAAATCCTATAGAAATTCATATAAATTCAAAAAATTGTGTGTAATAATAATATAAAAATTGTGTAAAATCATTAATAGATAAATAATTTCAAAAAAGATCCTTTATTTTGTAAAAAGCTCTTAATTTTTTTTCTACTAAATATATAACTAGGAAGCTTTTGCAGACTTTTTAAATAGTACAAAAGTTAGAATGCGAGACTTATGTATACCAAATACTATCCTCCGTTCTTTAATTATTGCAACAATTTGACTTTCACGTTTGCCAACGCACAACTTTGACTGTAATTATATTTAATTATGTATTAATTAACATTATAAAAATTTGATGTTTTGGAAATTCACATTGATAGGAATTTAATAACATGTTATACGTAATAATTTGATTAAGTATATTAGTAGAAAATCATGATCAAAGTAAAATCTATGAATAGTGCAAAAATCAAAATGTTACAAGAATTAAAGAACGGAGGAATGGGCTCGGCATAAAGCCTCATCATTCTCAAATCCAGCATTGAATGGGCTCAGCATTATCGCAATCCGTATGCAATGGGCTTATTACCGCTTTTTCCGATTGTATAACTTGTTAATCCAAAAGCATTATGGCCCATACATTAGGAATTATTTGCTGAATAAATAAACCACCGGGACAAAGCGTGGAACGATCGACTCCCATTTTGTTCTGGAAAACCACATCTAGGGTTCTTACATCTGCCGCTGAACATCGGTAATGGCTTGCCCTTTTATTCAAATCTTTGCATCTATCTTGTTAGCATACAATTTTGCTCTAGTTATGTTGAGCCTTTTGGTTTGTTTTGAAAAGTAACACTTTTTCAGCGATCTGTTTTAGATTTGATCTGTTTCAGGAAAAATGCCGCGACACGATGATCGTTACGGTGGAAACCGCCTCTATGTTGGTCATCTCTCTTCCAGGACGCGAACTCGCGATTTGGAGGATATCTTTAGCAGATATGGAAGGTAAATACTTGAGATTTGGAAACCAATGGAGCCGTTCATGTTTGATAGAACTAACACATGCATGTTATGCCATCAGATTGACATAAACGATTGGGTTTCAATCCCAGTTTTTGATACCCATTGAATATGTTATCTAGATTTAAGTGTCACTGATATCTGTAAGAAGTGATGTTTATTTATCTTAGAGTATATGTGGACTGGATCACCGAAATGACAGGGAAAGGGTAAAATATTCAGTTCGTAGTATTATTTTATGTTGCCTTTACCTGTTTCATGTATTTAGATTTCTTAGTCTTCTTATATGGGAAATAAATCTAAAAGTAAGAATGAAGAAAGATCCAATTGTTCTTCCCTTACTATTCCTTTCCTTGTTATTTTCTGGGATCCAAACAGACCCTTGGGGTTTTAGTATGTTTTATAACATTATCTTGGATGAGTTTTTTCATGGGTATGGGGCCAAAGTTAGTGTGACGTTGCGCTGATTGACATTTTCATTCAAGTATATGAGTGAAAACAATGTCCTACTAGTCTCAGATTTTATCTTGGATGATGTTTCTGAAGGTTTCTATATTTTTGCCCAACGGGAGGTATGTGGTGGGAGGTTGACCTTGGTGGCATCCGTTGATATTCTTGCAAAGAGTGGCGAATCTTTCTTTGTTGTTATAGTATATATGTTTTGATGGAATGGAACCAACCCCAAAGTGGTGTTACTTCATCCTGAGAGGCGAGGTATCAACCCTTTGGTTATTTTGTCATGATGGCCTTACTGTTTCTGGAACCCATTTACGCAGAGTACGTGATGTAGATATGAAGCGTGACTATGCATTTGTGGTACGCTCATCTTTGATGTTTTTAAATTATAGGGAGATGAAAACATATTATTAAGTGACATTTTTATGTGTCACACATTCTTTTTGTGGTGAAATTATCAGCAATTTGATCACCACCCAGTGAATTCGTGCCACATATGAATGCCACTTTATGTGTGAATGAAGCTTCTTTTTTCATATTCAATGAATTGGAAAGTACAGGAATTTAGCGATCCTCGAGATGCAGATGATGCTATATATAGGCTACATGGACGAGAAGTTGATGGCAGTCGCATTATTGTGCAAATTGCAAAGGGGGTAAGTATGAACTCTTGGTGTAGTACTCAATTGACCTTGATCGTGTACTATGAACATCCACAGTAGTATTTAACCATTAATTATCCATCACTATTGTTGACTTCATGACTAAGCATATAAGATTGTCACTGGGATACTGTTTTCTATTGAATATATGACAATTTTCAGTGAAAGAGTAAACTTGCTATTCATTTAATAACCTGTGAAATATGGTGTAGTGTCCTGGTAAGTGTGGACTTATTTCTCATTCTATGTCTGTCTTCTTTGAAATGGAAATTGCAGTTCAGAAATTCTTCTTTAATATGAGTGTGTACCTGTGTACAGTTATTAATAATATTATTTATCTATGTTATGCTTTCATGACATCCTAGAAGGCATCAAGTTTATGTATTCAGGGACTTATTCTATCCTGAGAATTTTTTTTATTTAAACAAAAGAATCTAATTTTCACCATTTTAATTATTCTCTTTTCAACAAAATTAGTTTCGTAACTAATTAGTATGTTTGCAACACCAAATAAACTTTGCTAGAATTGTTGATGGGCAATATTTCTATTTCACTAAAAAATAAATGCATGTACCCTGACTTTTTGGGATGGATCTAGAAGTTTTTAGCCAACTAGTTTGTTAATTTTTTTAGCCTTACTAAAATCTGTATGTCCTTGTCTCCGAACAACCCTCCTTACCTTGTTTTTCCTCCATAAAGTTTTGTACTTCATTTCATATTTTTTCTGATCAGGTTCCACGTGGACCGGGTGGATCCCGTGAGTATTCTGGCAGAGCTCCTGCTCCTGGAACTGGCCGCTGCTTTAATTGTGGAAATGAGGGCCACTGGGCTCGTGACTGCAAGGATGGAGACTGGAAGAATAAATGTTATCGCTGTGGGGAACGAGGCCATATAGAAAAGAACTGTCATGAGGCACCGAAAAAATCAAGGTTCGATATCAGGTGTACCTACTTCACATTATTTAACGACAGCGTTCAAGCAGATGTAGCTGTATACATTGATTTTTTGTTACAGTGGACGTGGACGGAGTTACTCCCGATCACCATCTCCCCGCCGTGAGAGGAACCGGAGTCGTAGTTATAGCAGGGGCCGCAGTTACAGGTTATCTTCTTGCCATTACCCCCCTCTTCCCACAGGAAAGAAAGAAAAAGTCAGGTCATGAGCAGTCATTGTTGCTACTTACGTATCATCTGCAAACGCGTATCCATTGTATGCCCAATCATCTGATTTTTTATATTTTTTGCCAAGTAGGATTTTTCGAATTGAAGAAATGATATTGTTCTTGATGGTTTCTAGGGAACCATATGTTTGTCACCTGAACCACTCCGCTCCCTGGAACATTTATAATAAAGAGCTTTGTTTGAATTTTTTTATGTTTGGGTGCATGTTGGAAAATGTAAAGGAACAAGAAAAGTGATCTCTTTTTAATGTTTTTTACATGTGGTTAAATTTTTTATGCACATAAATGAATAAATTGAATATCAACGTCTATCTTTAACTATGGTGCACTAATACTTCATCCCGACGCCGTATCCGTGTATCCTTTACGTATCTGATACTAATATTGAATGATGTGTCCTGTATGTATTAGGTCTGCATCCATCATTTTAAAAGTATTGGACTTATTTTTAAAATATAAATACATAGGGTGCGTGCACGTATGGATTCTATGGAAGAGATTAAATTGGAATCAATCTTGTTAAGAGATTTTTATGTAAATGCCAATAGCGAATCAGATACTTGAATTTAACTTGAATATCAGTATTTCAGTTTAATTTTTTAGTCCTATCTTGGAAATGTTATTATTATTGTTAATAGTTTGTACTATTATTTTTATTTATTTATAAACCTCTTGATCATATATATTTGCAATTTTATACCCTATATTGTTATTATTTATTAATATACCTGAATTTGCCAATCTCTCACTTGGTAAGACTAAATTGGAATCAATCTTGTTAATAGGGGAATAGATTTTGATGTAAATGCAAATAGTTAATCATAAATTTGAATTTAAATTGAATACCATTATTTCAGTTTAATTTTTTAGTCCTATCTTTGAAATTTTATTATGATTGTTAATATTCCGTACTATTATTTTTATTTATTTATAAACCTCTTGATCATATATATATATATATATATATATATATATATATATATATATATATATATTTGCAAATTTATACCCTATATTTTTATTATTTATTAATATACCTGCATACCCTGATCATATTTTTAATTTTCGAAGCTGCTGTATTGCCATACCCGTATTTGTTTATCGGTGTATTTGTATCCGTACAAGATAGATCTTAAGTAACTCATTGGGTTGACTTTTGCTCTATTGTTGGTTATAACCAGATTTTCTTTCCCTCAAGTGTTTCTATCTTTTTAAACCATAGGGAATATGATTTCTTTCAGGAGTTTCAGGTGAGTGTGATACAAAAAATCTGAAAAACATCCATTTAAAAAGCATATCCTAAAAAACTGTCTTGGTGATGAAATCAGAATTCAGATAGAATTTTTCTGTGTGGTTAAGATGATTTAATATTAAGAATTAGTGATGTATATATCTCAGCAGGCTTCTAACAACCCTGTATGATCCTGGTGTGTTCTATTTTTTCCCTATATTTGCTCATCTCCCAACTTTTTCAACTATTAGCATACTTTATTTGTTGGTTCATTTTTTTTCTCAGCAGCCGGTCTAGATCCCCAGCAGTGAGAGAGCATAGTGTTGATCATGATGATCGACGGTCCAGGAGTCCTCCTAGATACCGCAAATCTTCACCGCCACCACCATCAAAAGGAAGGTACCGTAGCCCCTCACCTGATGACAGGAGCCCAAGGAGAAGAGGCACACCATCCCCACGTGATGATAGGCCAGTTAATGGTTCAGAGAATGGCAGAAGTCGCCCCAACAATGGATCTGAAAGTGATGACGATAAAAAGAATATGAGCCCTCTTGAGGAGAATGGGTGCAGTCCCAGCAATAGCCCTATCCGCAGGGACAGTGGAAGTCCTGTGGATAATGACAAGCGTGGTTCTCCAAGAGGTAGTGAGTCTCCCTAAATTATATGCAAATGTTATGTTAAGTCATCATTTTGTGTCAAATTCGTAATGTTCGTCCTGAACAACAATTCAGTTTTTCCCGTGCTCAAAGCCCAGTTATGACTTCAAGTTTCTCTTAAAATTAAGACTTCTGATTTGTTGTGATTTTCAAATTTCATTTTCTTGATCAATTTCCTTTAAACTCGAGGGCTATGATGGTTTACAGACATGTTTACCAGACAAGGAATTGGTGACTTGTGTATGTTTCTTATATGGTATAGACCTTGTTTGATAACATTAAACTGACTTATTCTTCGTGTTTTTATTTATCAAATTAGGCAGTTGAAAATGGTTTTGTTCTTTTTTGCATATCAGATTTTGTTTATGACTTTCTTATCGACATCCTTTATGCCCACATCCCTAAACCATATTTTGCTGATCAAATGCTTTTCCCTTCTGAAATTTTCGGTATCCAGTCAATATTCTTCCAAATGACAATATGGGTTATAACTAAAGTAGTTGTATTTACTTATGGGTTCCGGAATCCGGACTCTGGAGCTGACTGGATCAAAGGCCAAATGTAATTGCAAACCCATAATACCATATCGTTCGAGAACTATTCGAATTGGGTATGGATCATGGGTATGGATCAAAGTTCTTTCAAATGCATTTGGCGGCTGGTTTTGGTTTGTTTTAACTAGGCTAAAGAATCTAGGTAGCGCCAGAAGTTTATTAGAAATTTATTTAATTAGCACTTCTGAAATGACGTTCCAAACATACCAATGTAATTCTGCACATGACCACAAATTCGTAGTGTCTTAGTTAGAATCCAATTTATTAGTTTGAGGCTTGTTAACCCGTTGGTTTGTGTTGTATTCAAATAAACTAGAATCTTGATTAGGTTTGATACTGGCAGATGTTGGGTATTGAGTTAGCCATGCTTAGTGATGGACCTGGGCCGGGCCCGGGCGGCCTTTTTTTCCAAGCACCCGGGCCTGGAACCGGTCGGGTTGATACCAGGTCCGGGCCTAACTGGGCCGGGCCCGGTTCAATGCCTAATTTTTTTTTGCTTTCTTTTTATCCCCCGACGGCCCCCCCCTCCCCCCGCCCAACCCCACTCTCCAAACCTCCCCAAAACACCCAGCCCTACCCTAGGAAAAGAAAAAAATTGAAAAAACAAAACAAAAATAATTCACCCGGGTCCTGGCCCGAACCACCTGGGCTGGTTCGCCCAAAACTGCGACCGAGCCCGACCTGCCCAAAAGGGCTTAAAGCCTGGAACCGTTCAACAGGTTCCGGGCTGGCTCAGGTTCGGCCCGGTTTAGTCCATCCCTAGCCATGCTTGCGAGGAAACTGACAGCGTAGGCATAATAGTTAGGGACTTAGGGTTGGGATTGGCAGTGTTGGGTTTAACAGAAATTCATAAATGATCTAAGAGCATCTGTAATGTAAAATATGTAAAAACTTAAAAAAAATTCAAAAAAAAAGAGGCTCGGCCCGGGCCCGAACCGGCCGGGCCGGTTCACCTTTTGAAGGGCCCGAGCTCGAACTGACATCCCATCGGGCCGGTTGGCCTGAACTGGCCAACCAATCGGTTCACCGGGCCGGTCCGGGCCCGCACAGTAAGGGGCCGGTCCGGGCCCGGTTCGGGCCAGATTTTTTTTGTTTGTTTTCATTTGTTTGGGCTCCCTCGGGTTGGGCTTGATGTTTAGGAGGGGTTTGGGGGGGTGGGGGGGGGGGTCAGGGATGGGTAGCTAAGCAAAAAAAAAAAAAAATTAACCAAACCCGAGGCCCGGCCCGGACCCGGACCGGACCCGGTGCTACCCGGGCCGGTCCCGGGTCCAGCTATATAGAACCGCCGGCCCGGGCCCGGCCTGAGTCCAACCCTATGTGCGGTCATCGCCATTTGGGAGGGTTCCCGATGAAAGTTTTTGATGGTTTTTTTAGCATCGTTTTCATTAAGTCTAGTTTACTCATACCAAATTTCAGATAAAAATGAAATCGGGAAGTCAGTCAAATGGGTTTAATCCACCCAACCCGTTCGTGAAATATAAATTCGACGCATTAGCCCTCTGTGATTTAAAAAATGCGTCAAAGCCTCCTGTGTTATCATTAATCATGCGTCAAACTCCTCCAAGAACAAATTTAATTTCAAAAAAGATGAAAAATGATTACTGTATTTGTACTACCTCCGTCCCAAAAAATAAGTCTCATTTCAATTTGGATTGGAGTTTAAGAAAGTGGTAATAAAGTGGAAATGTATGGTTGTGGTTGAGTAAGAAAAAGGTAAATGAATCTTAGCCACACAAAACTTTCCAAAAAGGGAAATGAGAACAATTTCTTGGGACGGTCCAAAAAGGAAAGTGGGACGGAGGGAGTATAATTTATAAATTTTGACAAAGTTACTTGCATATTCAACTATATTATTAAAAAACGTGATTTCAAAATTGTAAAATTGGTTCTTGTAAAATTGGAAATAAGATTAGTTAAAACACAAAGGGGTTTGACGCATTTTTTAAATCACAGGGGGTTAATTTGTCGAATTTATATGGGCTTGATGCATTTAACTCGCAGTCAAATAAATGTTTGAAGATAACTGTGCAGTTAAATAGCGCAGTATATTTCAGAAAATCATTTGAATGCCTTCCTGATATGGGTAAACTAGACGTAATGAAGATGATGCAAAGAAAATCATTAAAAAATTTCATCGGGAACCGTCCCAAATGGTGACGGCCAGACAGAGCTTGCTATAAAAGTGGTGATTTGCACTTTTTCGATTAGTTCGAGAGCTTATTTGCACATTTTCCCAAAATACAAAGAAACCAGACCAGACCAGCAAATTACAGTCCAAGTAAAAACATCCTTGGTGACCGCTCTTGTCAGTGACTTCCACTTCCGCCTACCAAACCTAAGACCACTTCCGCCGCTACTACCCCAGTCGAAGACTTCTCCCCCATACAGGGACGGATCCAGAATTTCGAGTCAACGGGGGCGAATTTTTTTCCGTAAGTGTAGTGGGTGAATATTTTTTCACTAATGTAGTCGGGCGATTTTTTTTTCCGCTGGAGTAGTGGGGCGAATTTTTTTCCGCTAGTTTACAAAAGCTTTGCGGCTAATTTTTATTAAAAATGAATTCATAAGTACATACATGATGATATTTAAATACTCCCTCCGTCTCAGAAACAACTTTTCACTTTTCTTTTCGGGCAGTTTCTAAATTAACTTCACACTTCTTCCCAGTTCCTTATTTGGCAAATTCTCTACATTCAAACAGTGCCAAACAGTATTAAACAGTACCAAACAGTGCCGAAACAGTTTCCATACAGTAAAAATTATCCCCCAGTATATTTATTTCCTTAATATGTGTGAAAACGAAGTTTGAAGTTGTTTACGGGTCGGAGGGAGTATATTACATTCTAAGTTTAACAAATAACTTTGATTTTATAATTGCAAGTGTTTTAGAAAAAAAGTATTGATACATTAAAGCGTAAGAAATAGCAAATCAAAGGCAAATTATTTGAAAATAACAAAGGATATATAACATTTTATCAAATTATTTGAAGGTAAAGAGTTTAAAAGGTGCACAACCACGATTGCTTTTTAAATAACTCATGTCATGTTTAACAACACGAATCTTATTGGTAAAAGGAATTGATTTTTGAATTACAAATTTTGTTTACCAAGAAAGATGTTCGTGAGTCATGAGGATAGTATGTACGTAAGTCTGAGATTATTATTTTTAGAATAATATTATTGAATTGCAAGTTTTGCTAATATTACAAAAGTATAGTATGTACGTAGTATGAGATTCTTAGATTGATGTCTTTTCTATCTTTTCTCTTTTTTTTTTCTTTTATCGTTTATCTTCTTTATCTTTTTAATTTCTTATGTTATTTTTATCTTCTAGCTTTTTATGCTATTTTATTTTTATCTTTTATCTTTCTTATATTCTTGTGTTATTGTTATCTTATATTTATTTATCTTTATTTTATTCGTTTTATCTTACTTCTTTTTCTTCCCTTTCTTGTCTATCTTCTCTGTTTGGCATCGATATCATAGACCGATTAATGTTAGCCGACCCCAAATTCTTTTGGGATTAAGGCTTGGATGGTCTTGTTGTTGGGGTAAAATAAGTTAAAATTTATTACCTATGCAATAAATTATTTTTAAAGAGTAAGAAGTAAACAAATTGTGTAATTTTAGATTCATTTCCCATGATCGAAAAACCGTTTAACTAGTGTGTCTCGTATATAATGTTGTTTGATATTTTACAAATCGAGTAATAATTATCTAATAAATTAAAGATACTTAAACATTTCAAAACTACGAATTTTTATATAATAGGTATCCTAAGTCTTGAACAATGAGTTGTTCTATTGTTTATTTGCTTAAGTTATGTAAATTATTTTAGATGTTTCATCTTTTAAATCTGCAATTAAGTATTACATAATGCAAGACTATATATTAATTTTGAAAACTAAAAGTTAAGGGAGGCGAACACATATATATCTAATTAAAATATAAAAATTTTATGAAAATATTAAATATATTGTAGAAAAATTTGAAAGTCCAAGTGGGGCGTTCGCCTCCCGCGCCCCCTAAATCACATCTGGCCATCTCGCCGGTCCATAACCCCAGTCACTGCCCAACACTCCACCAACTCATCCATCATCCCCCGCCATCAATTATATGATCTTCACAGGAACTGCATGTAGATATGAAGATTTAAGAGTTTACATAGTCCAAAGGCGCAGAAGTTTTATGAACTGTAATAGGTGTTTGCTAAAACGGCATATGATTGTTATACATATACGGGAATTAATGTGGTGTTTGCAAAAATTGCAGTTATATGGTAGTTAATTCTTTGGACATACAAGTAAAGTCACTTTTGTGGAAACTAAATTCTTAGTCATATTTTTGAAATTGAAAACACTAGTCGTAATATTAGTGCCATTTTCACGTACTAAAAGGAAAGTGAAAACTTTAATTTGGAGTGAAAGGAAAATTATATGGTACACTTGGTTGTACGATGCGCGTGGTACAACTCGATAAATTTGTAACCCTTTACAATCTGCATTCTCCATGAGTATTCATGCTGCGGACATGCACAATGCACACATCTCTTGAGTTTTTCTTTATTTCATTGATTATCAATTCAATCTATTTATTTCACAAATAGTGATATAGTACTATATTCTTTCAAAATTATAGGGAATTATCATCTAAATAGGGATGCTCACAACTATTCGTAAAATTTTCAAAGTGAATTTTCGTTCATTTCGTGAGCGAATTTGAATTATTCTTTGCTACATTTGAATAAAATACCGAGTATGTATAATTTA